GAATGGCAGGAAACAACCAGGGGTGAGAGGGCGCAGATAAGCAGCGAGTTTTGTGTGTAGTTAGGCGTGCAGTATCCCAATTTCGCGATAACCTCATTTCTGAAAAAGTGGCACGCTTCTGCAACTGCGGACTCATTCGCCTCGCACGGCGAAGACCAAGATACGGAGATAAGAGTTCAGTTTGCCTTCGAAGGCATGAAGCATGGTAGGCATAGCTCGGCGACAGTGGTGGGGTGGGAGCATTTCGCACCTACTTCCCTTCGACGTATCAACCCATCTAGACAGCCTCTTCTCGAGTTGACAGGTTTTACCATGATGGCTTGACGAGCTTGCTCCAGCTTCACAAGAGTTCACAGGTTTCACCAGAGTGAGACTTGTAAACCGGAACTAGTGAAGCAACGAAAGTGCAAAATGCCCCTCCGTCGCCGAACTGGGCCGAAAAACCCGCAAGGAGTGCCCTGTCCTGGACGACTCAGGAGGCATTCCGGACGAGTCTCCGTTGGCATCGTGTCAACAACCGCTACGGCAGATATGGCTGCATGGGTGTACTGATATAACCATGCAGCACCGCAGCCGCTTCATGTTGTACTTCGCAAATAAAGCGATGCGAGCATCAGCATCGGTCGAACATTTACGGGCAGGCGGGCGCGGTGGGTCACCTCGGTGTGATGCAGCTTGATAGGACGCTATAGGGGTACCTTCCTTGAAAAGGCGCCACGCAGTGCCTGCTCAGGGTGCTGAATTCCGACCTGCTAGGCGTGTTGTTCCTCCACTTCTTGGGGATTTATCGTGCTACTTGCCTTGCAGCGAGCTTGTTGAATGGGGAGTAAAGGAGGTTCACTCACAGGGGCTGTATGGTGACGCGGGGGGGGGGGTGGGAGCACTTTGCTAATTATAACTGACTTCAGATCGATCGACGTGTCGACCCATCTAGACGGCTTTCTCTAATTGACAGGTATTACCATGATGACTTGACGAGCTTGCTCCAGCTTCACAAGAGTTCACAGGTTTTACCAGAACGAGACTTGTAAACCAGAACTAGTGAAGCAAGGAAGTTGCATAACCTCCCCCTCCCTGCCGTCGGCATACTGTGCCTTATTCACGCATGATTGGGAGCCATGCGTATGAATATACAGGGGGGCCAAAAAAAGACATTTCGACCGAGTCACATATCAGCAAAGTTTTCGCAGCCCAGACAGAGGACGTGGATACGAGTACCAGGGCGGGATACCCAAGATGTTCCTCTATAAGCAGGAGCTGGCGCTCGCCCATCACCTTCATGTACACCAAAATATGAAGTCATCTCCAGCCGCAACCTGACTGGAGAAGACCTTCGGAATTCATGTCACCTCCGAACAGCTGCGAAACTCCTAGTATGGAGTCACCCATAAATAGCTACCTGGAGAGCAGTACTCTCGATCTGGGAGACCTCCATCATCGAGCAGCTGTCAACGTCGCTACGATCTAGGACATCATCTTCACCTCAGTCGCCAAGGCGCCAGTTGATGGTGGGGACCGGACGTACCTGGAATGGAGAGACCGATATTTTCTTCGTGGGCCCCGGACTAAAGGTGAGCGCTGGCGGTTACATCGAGCAACTCGAGAAGATATCCTCTCCACATGTCGTCGCCCGTACCTTCTTGGAAACTTTGTACTGCTACAGGATTGGGTGACACCACATGGAATCAAAGGGCGTTGGGAAAACTCTTGCCTACTTGGAATGGAAGGGCGTTGAGTGCCTGAATAAGGTGGAATATCTAAGCAGGTAAGCCGACCTAAACCCTCCATTACCGTGGTTCAGGAATGTTCAAGTAGGGTGCGTCTACAGTGGCAGAGAAATGAACGATCTCGCTAAACTCGCGCACCCACTGAAGGTCGCGTGCCAGAATCTCTCGATGGCGCTCCTCCAGAAGGCTGTGGCGGAGTATCATGATAGTATTTAATATGCTCTTTAATATGGTGGTAGAAATGTCCGATAAGAATTTGATAAAGTGTAACTTATAGCGCCTCGAAAGTCGAGGAAGAAAAAAGTCTTTTTTTTGGCCTCCCCCTGTAGTGTTGGTCGATCATAATTTATCATACTTCACTAGCCATAACTATATACTGAGGGTGGCAATACTTAACAAAAGAACGGAAAAACAATTAGATTACAACATTCTCGAGATCACCGTCCTCCCGCACCAGCAGCGGCACCTATTATGGCACCTATAAGAGCCCCATGATGTGCTCCTCTTCTCGCACCTGAAACAGAAACTTGTCAAGGAGGATGGCCAGACAAAGGCATTTCAACTCACCGTGATTGTATAGACCGTAATGACCAAAGTAAGGTGGTGGCGGTGGTGGCCCGAAAGGACGATGAAATGGCGGTGGTCCGAAAGGATCATAGTAGAAAGGCGGTGGTGGTGGCTCGATGAAGGTCGTAATATGGAGGGTAACAGTGGATGGGCAGAGTTGCCGTCAACGTTATGAGCAGGAGAGGGAGATACATTCTGACGGAATCTAAAAAAGGATTCCTGGTTACATTCGTAATCATGTGCATGGGGTTACTTCAAGTTCAGCACTCCTTCGCGAGCCATCCTTAGCCGACCAAAATCGGATCACAAGTGAAATGAACTGCTTCTTTCCAAAAAATGATGGAAGATTTCTCAAAACTAGAGACTGTAAGATCAGTGAAGAAACTCTTTTTTTTCAAGACAGAAAGGCAGGGATGGTCAAAATAAAGACTGACACAGACGGGGCGAGCCCTTTGAGAAAGGAAATAAGATGGAGATATAGATAAAAGTCCACAAGCGAATAATCCAGTGGCCCCACCTACATATTCGAGATATCATATGGTGTTTCCGCAGCGCACCAGATCCGCATGAAGATAGAGCTTCCAGTGGTTTGATCTTTCGACTAGGCGGAAATTTCCACTCAGCTGAAGCTTCGTTTTTTTTCATTCGAAGTCCTCCGAGCAAGCCAAATTTTTGTGAAATTATCCCTCTCAAACTCGTCAACTCACAGGTGTCAGACTAGCTCAATAGCTTCCCTAATTCACTGCGGAGGGAACCGCGAGATCGACTACGGATTAGAACTTCTGCTAGAAGGCTGCTATAAAACTTTTAAAAAAAGCTGAGAATCCTTCTTTCTCAGTGAGGACTTTCTATTCAGCTTACACAGCTGAGGAAAGCCTCCCTCACAAGAACAAGTAATTCAGAGCTGATGGTTACTTGAGTGTCCTCTCCTCATTCGCACTTCCTTGGAATGGTCCTTTTCGGCCGTTCTTTTGGGTCGTCCTTTCCACTTTTCTGGCCAACCCGGGCTCCCAGTTTTGCCAGGGCATTTTCACCACTGTTTTTTTTTCTTTTCAATGGATCTTTACGCTTTGTAGGTCACTATAGAGCGTAATGATCCATCTAGTCTTATGAGTTGAACTTGCCATGACAGGGTTTGTTAGATGGGATATTATCAACGGCTTTTTCAGTCATACCCCATAGTCCTTGGGCCATCAGAGGCCAGCCCAAGGATCTATTCCAAGATTGCCAACTGTAGACCTTGAAACACTTGTCTGTTTCTGTTCATTGATAATAGCAGTCGGATCACTCAGCTGTTGCGCCCCTCCTGGATGTGCTAAAATGCGCAAAAACGGGCTGCTCAATGCGTCACAAGGGTTTCTTACCTAAGATAATGTAGCAGAACAAAGTTGGCAGGCGTAAAGCCACATCATTACAGTTATTGGTTCTGGCTCCCTCTGCGCTGCATCTGACTTTCATGTTTTCGCGAAAGCGGGTAGCATATAAGAGGAATGACGCGCAACTGTGATATGACGATGGAGATGACTGTGGGAAATTGCAGAGCCTCGTCACCTCCTAATGAGCAGCTGTGGACCCATGGGCGTCAATGAAAAAAAGAACTTCGCATTTTTCTATGTCGAAGTAAGCATCAGCGGAGAGTGAATGTCACCACCAACAAGACGTCCTCACACTAAACCGTCAGATCTCTTCCTTTCTCTTTTGTTCGAATGCGACTTAACTTCTACCACATCAATTCGTTATATAAACCCAACATAACAGCTCCTCGTTGTAGAAAAAAACAGGCAGACTTATGAGAAGTTTTTTGATTGCTGATTTTCCTGTTTCAAGTGCACTATATATAGCCCACCCCCAAACGACACTAGTTACATGGATCATGATTAGAGCAGATGGGAGCAGGGCACAATCGTTGGTTGGGGAATCCCCAACAGGGGGGTCGTATTTGGCCGCCAGGAGAGGGGGGGGTCGTAGTGAGTGCGGCAGCCAGTAACGACCAGCGCAAATTGTCAATGTGCTGAGTCCTGTACAACGAAACTTGCTTTGTAGAGAACTCGGATATGCAAAAAAATAGTACAAAACTTTCATTCATCAAACTAATCCGAAATAACTGCAAATATTAATAAGTCGACATCATCTCGTAGGTCCGTTTGGTGACTAAACAGTACAACGTCTTGGTTCGCCCGCCAGGCATATGGCGTGTCCGCGGTCACGCTTGGCGCTGAGCCAACCTGTTTTTTTCTCGACAAGCGACAGGACTACCATATCGTTCATATCAGACGTTTTCCAGCAGTTGGTCTCCTTTATCGGAGTCAGCGATTGGCAGAGCACGAATCTGGCAGCGTTGACAGGGACATGTTCCATCATACGCAACGAAAACACTGTAAACAAGTGCACAGGCTCGCCATGGACCTCCCTGAACCTTATAGACACATTTGCTCGCGTGAACAGACATTACGCACAAGTTGCACCATCCCATCACCTCTGCGCGGGTCGCCTCCGCATCGTGCGCGGGGGGGTCGCATTCAAGTGGGTTGACGTGATCGGGGGGCGTGCCGCTTATACAACCATATCCTTGCTCCTGCTCACCACAGGATACGTTCTACATGCGTTCCTGGCTATTCGAACACGCTCACTTGAAACGGTACACAGGAAACGGGTTTTTTCGGCGCAGCTGGGGGTGTTCTCGAAGAATATCCGCGCAGTTAGCGGGAGATTCGTCTAGTAATCCCGAGAGCTTCAGAAACAGTTCAAGAGGTTTTCAGAAAGAGAAAATCTTCAAACACTCGGATCCGTTCTCAGATTTGTGAAATGTTGAGTTACAAAAAAATATATTGGTTCAAACCTGTTCAACTTAAACTTCAACCCTTCACTCCCCATGGAATCCCTATGGGCAGATTTCTCTGTGATTTTTGCGACCTTCATAAACGTTTCAGTACATTTAGGAAGTGCAATCCTTCCTCCCACCCCCATACGACGAATACGGTTCCCTCTTCCACAGCGTTCGCCTTTTTAGGGCAAGTTATGTCCTTTCAAGAACGCCTACTTTGGCTAGAAAATTATCGCCCCTCCAATGGGTAAAATGCCGAACGATCTGCGGTCACATCTGCAATTACATGCGCTTCTGCTACCGTACTCCAATAATCGGGGTAATGCATTTTTACGGCGGTTTGTATAACTGTTACGTAGTGAGACAAGCCTAACTTTCTCTTTTCCTCGTCCTCAATCTTGGGAATAGACGTTGTTAACACTGTGGTCGCTGATGGCCGCTCCCAGAGAGGGAGTTCACGTCAGGTTAACGAATGCTCATTGAATTTAATCGCGATATATTCGTTATTATTACCATGTGTGTTCAAAACGGCCATCGAAGAAGTTCATCATACGAGTTTCTCATAATACGATTGTACCGTTTTTGTTGCAGATCAGTCTGCTGTATGGCTTATGTAATTTTTCATGAACTTCAAGTCCGGCATTTAGTTATGGACCTTCAGTACAGGTGTTTCATAGTGGGGCGTTTCATGTTTCATTAAGGCGGGCGGAGAAAATAACCGACGGAAAAATGGTCGTACCGACCACCCAAAAAAAGGGGGGTCGTACCCAGGCTCGACAAAATCCCCATCGAATGCTCGTGCCGCCTGGCAGGGAGACGGGCAAGAGAATCGTAAATTGCCGCTTCGTCGCGCGCGGCAATGGGCACGACGTTTCCTTATTTTGAACTATCCCTTCGATTAGAGCATCGGACTTGATGTAGACAAGGACGGGATGTCAAGACAACGATGGTGGGCATTCCACTTTTGATCATACATGGTCTATTATCGACCAATATCACCCAAAATAGTCGTCATTAGCGGGCGCGACGCCGCACGCGACGCTCACTATCACGGCAATTACGATTCTCTTGCCACATACCCATACAGATAGATCAGTGGTCGATTTCGATCCTGTCGGCCTCGAGGTGGTTCTCTTGGTATTGAGATGGCTAAAGGAGAGAGTTCAAACATGGAGTTTGGCGAAATAGTAGTGAGAAATGCAGTGAAGATAGTTTTATCTACTCTTGTCGATTAATATCATTACTTGTCACCCGCCACCAGTGTCTGTCTCACTTAATCAGATCGTCCGCGATCACCAAGTGAAAACCCTACAATGAAAACGAAACGCGGAGCTACGCCAATCACAGCGAAATCCCACTCTTGCGGCTCGAAATCGATTGGTTGACGAGGGCGGAGTCAACAAGGCTGAGCTGACGCCTCCTTTCCTGTTAATCCCGCCCCGACTGGTTAACAGTTATCAGTGCTTGCTGGCATTGATAAACGCTAAGTTTCTGGAGTTCCGAGGCGGCGACGTGTATTGGAGAACTCACCAAAGGTCTGCGAAACTCGTCCACATGCCTTAAATTTCGTAGGGTCTTATTTCACGCTCTTCCACACCTTTTTCCTACTTTTTTTTGATTAGTGCTTCATTGGCCACCTGTTCTAACAAATTTGACCCCTGAGACCTGCCAAAGTCCATCGCGGGCGCTGTCTTTAAGCACTACAGTTAGTCGTGAGCGACGCCACCACCTCGAACAACGCCGACCACCGCAACGTTCGTTATTAGCCGCTATCACGTGTTATTGCTTTTTGTCGCCCACCGCTGATATCCCCATCTGATCATTCTTGTCCCTCATCAATACTGTTCAAGTCCCATAGTCCTACATCATATCTCGGCATCAACACTAAGCCGATTTTGTCAACTGTGTTATGAATGTGGTGATCCTCTCCTTTTAACGCTTCTTAATCAGCTGCTAACACTTTCCCGAGAACAACAAACAATAATCACTGTCCCATACCCTTGATCATATCATGGAACCAGTGCCCACCATTGCTAAAAAAGGCGCAATGGATTTCGTGACAAACAAGCAGACACGACGTACAGACTGAGTGAATTATATATAGTAAGATCTTCTATGCCAACGCTGACCGTACTTTCTCGCCCAATGCGGTTGGTCCAGTGCTGGTGTACCTCATATTTGCAGCTCCAGTAAGCCCGGTTATAAAAAGTAATCGGCTTTGGAGAGCTGGAAGACACATTTGGCCTGAACAGGAAACACTTTGGCAGATTGTGGAAAGTACACAAGACAGGATAGTGCGGTCTGTTGGGGCCATTCTGCTGCTTCCCATCCATCACTGCCAAAGCCTCCTGTGGATTCCTCTAACTCCCTGTGCAAGTATTCAGCGACATGGACACCGTGTACATTGGACACAGGTCTACAGAATAGCATGGCGGGGATACTGTGGCTTCCATATAGCCTCAGTCGCCTAAACCTCACTAGCGATGCCTCCATATATCAAAGCAGATGTTTTGGGTTATTTTGTCAACCTTTTCTTCCACTACCAAAGACTCACCAACAAGTTCGGTCAATTTTTCACCCACGAACCTGTTGCGCCGGCTTCTGTGATAGCTAAAAAAAGTTGGAAACGCATAGACACAAGTGTACCAAGGTTCCCACTGAGCTCACTTATCGTTCTTATTGAGTTTGTATCGCGTCGCGAAAAGGGAGTGAACAAACTTAACTACTATATCTCTTACTCTGGTTGAAAGCTAGGTGCAGAAGATTCTGCATGTATTAGAGATCGTAACGCAGTGCAGGTTAAAGTACCAAAATGGGCAATAAAGAGAGAAAATTGTTTATAAGTATACAAGAGTAGTTATCCAATAATCCTGTGTAACAACTCTTCGAGACATATTTACAATACATACGTAGGAATATTGCCCTGTTTGGACTCCTGCTGATCATTTCCCTCCTGCGATCGCTCCCAACACACCACCGACGACTGCGCCTGTAACAGCTCCTCTGAGCGGATCTGAAAAAGGACCGTTTCTAATTGTAGGATAAGGTCGCAAATCGCTCGAATCAATATTAAACTAACTCACTATAGGGGCGGTAGCCGAAGCCACCATACAGTGGGTAACCGAACCTGCTCCAGCCGTATCCCCACCGAGCGGAATCTACTGTGGCCAACATTGCGACTGCTATGAGCGTTAGTATGAAGATGCGATTCATTCCCTAGAACGAATTTCTTCATTCAGATAATATGTTGGAGACCCATAGATCATATAAAGTGGGCGAAAATACGTGGAAGAAGTGAGGAAAATTTTTTTGTCACCTTAGGGCAGTTTTTACTAATTAAGTACAGTCATGATCCAACGATAGGGCGTGTCTGAGCTCCAGTCGACATCCAGACCTTCATTCGTTTTCAGGATTGCAGCCTCATCATGGAGTATTGGCGTCGTGCAACAACGGCCGATAATAGGGAGCACCGTTCTCAAGGAGCCCCTTCATTTTACCCTCACCGACAGCTCTCATGCTTGAGTCGGGGTGACATAAGAAAAAAACTTTGGGATAGGGGTTTGGGGGTCGGTGCTGACGGTGCCGATGCAATTTTCGGTCATATTGCACAAAACTAAGAGGTACGAGACAACTGGGTGGTACGGGTGGAAAGCGCATTACCTCGGGTATTCGTGCTCACATCATCGATCACACCTCTTCAGATTATGGGCAAACTTTTTTCGTTCTAAACAAGTTTTTTTTTGTTCTAAAACTCGAGGCAAAACCTTCTAATAAAATAATCGCTCATGGGAGTTACTTTCTAACACAGGAGCCGTTGCAATTATTACAAGTTCTTATACCGTTACTTCTTACCCACCCTCCATGTCTCCGTTCCGTCCTCTATATAGCTTTCCAGAGCTAACTTCTTAAACACAGGTTGCTGCTGCGGCCATTGCGAAACGAAGACAGGTCACACTTGGGCTACTACACTTATGCTGTTCGAAGCACTACAAGGTACATACCAGTAGAGTCCTCGGTTACACTCATGTAAATAAAGGCCTCGTTCAGAAACTGATGGGGTGGGGAATCAGGCACAAGAAATCGACGATTATTTGCTCGTCCTTTCCTCTTCAACCTTCCACCAGTGAACGTTGCAGAATTCCGTCTGCAGTTTATGAACGAGTTGCGCGACTCGAGGTATTCGTTTACAGCAGAGACTTTTGGGCCTATATGTTTTAGTCAAGAACAGTAGGTCCGATAGGAGAATTTATCACAAAGGGCTGATACAGAGATCGGTCGACACGAAGACGTGTGCCCAATTTGTCCGATCCCACCTCATCTCCAAGGCCATACTCAAAGTCTGGATTTCTTCTGATAGGCATGGCTGGAGAAAGCGATGAACCCACGCGATATTGTACCTGTCTTATGCAGAGCAAGTGGTCGGGCAACTCAATCAGTTCCAACAATTCGTATTCATATTTGATGCTAGCTAACGCATAAGAGCACTCAAGCTCAGATCTGTAATGAAGATATTCGAACTAACTGTACAAGGGAAAATTGCTCTCCAAGACAGAATTTGTGGGAAAAGTTTTTGCTTAAAGCTGGGAAATAATAAGATCCGCGGTGAAATGGAGCGGTGCGACCTTCAACGTGAAAACCCAAATAAATCGCGGTTAGCACTTGTGCGAGCACGTGATGGATAGCAGTACAATGGTAACACGAGAGAGCGAAAAAGTGACTATAATCATCGGATCCTATCGCAGAGATGGAACGAATGCGAGGGATAGAGTAGGCATATATTGGGCAGCAAATGAAGTCGTCCAAAGAGGCAAAAGTGAGAAAGGTTGCTCGGTGAGACGAGATCCGGAACGTAGACTAATCCAGGGGAGGGGAATATGGAGTCGATGGCAAAGTAAGCATGTAAGGGATAGGTCGAAGGGAGCAATATCAGAGAAGTCAGTCCGGCGCGCATAAGGGGAGGAGTGATGCACGTGAGGCCGGAAGTATTACGGAAGTCAAAGAGGGGCTAATACGGGAGAGAAGGGCCTATTCATACACATTAGGTTGCTAATGTGAAGATCGCACTGTAGTGTAGTAAGAGAAAGAGGTGGGGTGCAGCCTTGCGGAGTGGAGGCGTACAAGCAGTACGGGCGCTCGTAACGTGGTATGGGCCGTTGGCCGCGACGATGTGGCACTACCTAGAAATCAAGATTTGTGAACGGGACTCTCATTCTAAATAGGCTTTGAGATGCAAAAACTCGTGGTAGAGGATGGACACGCAAGTGTCTCGTGGAACTTATACTGAGAGGTGAGAGGTTTTCTTTCTGAAGGAAAAAAAAGTAGTGAGTATGAACAGAGCATACCTATGGAATATGTATTTGAAACGGTGGTTTCGGGAGATCTTTTGTGCAGGATTTTTTTGGAAGTCTGCAAGACCATTGTCATGGGCTTGGCTGCGTATAAGTTCCATTACTTCAGTAGTTGAAATTAAGCGCACGGGATGCGGCACAAGTTTCAATTGTTTCTTGGCGTCACAATTAGGAGATGAAGGTCATTCCAACACAAACGGAAACGCTGTAATCGACGTCTCAATACAAAGCCTAGCAAGTTTTTGACGTCATTTTTCTTTTAAAACGTGACGTGAGATCACTTACACACCTGAGACACATAAGCGTGGAAGGTAGTGGGTTGAAAAAAGTCTGCAGCAATGGAGCTGGATTTGAACTGACTACCCTTAACCGAGAACTTTCAGTCACATAAACATACCACGAGACTTCTAGGAAGGAATGTAGGGCGTCTTTTCACTTGTGGTCTCCTGGTGGATCTAACGGATGAGAAAAAGGTTTTCGACGTCATTTCGTGAGATTTTGCGACGGAATATTCTTATTTCAGTAAGCTGATGATAAGCTGAGTATGCGGTGAGTCAGTAGCGATGAGTAAGCTGAGTATGCGATAAGGTCAAACCAAGTTCCACTTCTTTAGATGCTATCTTCGCCACATGCGGACACTGGTCTTCACGGAGTAGGAAGGCTTTTTCGTGCGGAGTTGAAATGCGATGGCGGTCATCTTCTGATGTTAATTTGGAGTATATGCTAGTCCTCATTGTTGTACTGTTGGGTGTCCACAAAGTTCGTTGGCCATTCGTTTTTTCAGAGCTTGTAAAGATAACTCACCAAGTTGAACTTACCGGTCCATGATATAATCTCCATGCATACCTACCACCTTTCGCCAACGATCGGGTAGAGAGGCAACTGCCATCCTCCAAGAGCGGCCGGCCGCGACTCGGACCCATTCCTCGATCACGTCCTCGAGGTCGCGCTCGTTCTTCAGCTGTTTTCCGTCCAAGAAATTTTGCATGGACCGGAAGATGTGGTAATCGCATAGACTGATGTCCGGGCTATATGGTGGATGCGTGAACGTCTTGATGCCCAGCCTGTCCAGGACGGCCTGAGTATCTCTCGCTTTGTGGGGGGCGTCCAACGAGCAACCACGGATTTGCAAGTCTGGGGAGCACAACGTGCGGCAGCTTTTAACCTTGAATCCTCGCTGCAATTCTTACAGAGAAGAGGCATTTCTGACTCACTGTGGGATTGTGGGATAGGGCTCGTAGTGAATGGAGCCGTGGCGAGCAGCAAACCACGAACTGACGAAACCCTTTTCGATCATACGTCCGCCACTTGGTGACGGCGAGTCACCCCCCCCCCCCCACTCCCTCCCCCTTGTTACTCACCTCTACACACGCGGCGGCTTACTCACCCCACTCCCCTCGGCTGCGACAACCCTGCTGCGCCCATCCCTCGCGTCCGTCCCCCCCCGGCGCTCCCACACACCGCTCCTGGACACGCACTCGCCCCCCCCACGCGCTCCTCGCTAGCTAGTCTCCCCCCCCCCAGCAAACATCGCGCGCCGTGGTCCGCGTCGACTCCCGAGCTCCCCCATCCTCACTGCTCCCCTCCACCTTGTCGCGGGACCACGCACCCAGGAAAACGCCAACTTTCTAGCTACCCTCACGCTCAGACACCCGCCATCCGCGCCCCACGCTCAACTCCCCCTTCAGCCGATTGCGAACCTCATCGCTATCCCACAATCACCAAGACCCGCTCTCGCCCGTACACCGCACCGACAGAACACTGTCTCACCAACTCGCGCCCCCAACGCACTCTTCTCGCGACCACACCCCGCCCACCCCCCCCCCCCCACCAATCCTCCTCCCCCACGCACGACGCCCCTTCTATACGCCCCCCACTAGCACAAACATCCCTACCCGACATTCTCTCATCCGTGCACTCGTCTCATATCTTGGGGCTTCTCCCATTCAGACGCACAGTAAATGAACATGTTAACATAACTTTTCAGGAAACACATAGGCACAATCGCACTCACCTAAACCTCACAACGAAATCAAGCAGATATAAGTACAGTATTTTACTGCTATCTTTAATAAAAGTATACAACTTACTGCAAACAGGTTCTTGGGCCTAGGTCGTCACGCCTGGGCTTTCGTAGTAGATCAACGAGGCAGCTCACTCAGTTCGCTGGCGGACGGGTTGGCGTGTTCGGACCAAAGCTAATCGCAGATGATGTACCAAACACACCCAACACACACCCACCCCACACACTCACAAACACGCCCGCTCCCTCTCCCGCACTCACTCTCGAGCCTCTCGGCACACCGCACGCACGCTACCACCCTCAACCACTCGCTCAGCACCCGCCAAACGACGTCAATCACCCGACAACGGCTCAACCTAGCAATACCACGTACTTCCCAGTCAACTCACTGCCCCCCGCTTCCTCCACACACCTGCTCGAACCGAACGGCGCTTCTGCCCCCATCCCCCCCCCACCCCCCCCCACCCCGAGAGAGAGCGCCAAAAGACCCGCACCTGACCCCGACGCCCCCAAAACAACCAGCCCTCCCCCGCAGCCGCCCCCCCCGAGCCACCCCTGCACCTATAACTCATTAGGCCGACCGGACAATACCAACACCCCCCCCCCGGCTCGTTACGCGCCATCCTGCCCCCACTCCCGCGCCCCCAGCCTCGACCTCTCTCACTATCACTCCGCTACTCAATCACTCCCAAAAACATGAATCACACATCCAAGCCACCAAACATCCAACAACATCAGCTATTCGTGGCTGCAACACACCTCGCTTCATAAATACAACACAATCTCACTCACCCATCCTTCCACTCACATAGCTACACCTAAAATCTGCTGGCCGGCACGACCCCCACCCTACCCGCTCACTACCTCTTATTAAACTCAGAGTGATAATGCGGCCCACGTCGGTTATCACGCATCCTTCCTCTAGAGGACGCCACACAACCCTTTCCCCCTCGCCGCCCCTTCCTCCCTGACGTACAACTCCGTGCCTATCCTCAACTACTGAATCTGTCTCTCTGTCTTCTGCTCTCGGTCACAACAACGCACCTTCGCACTGCAATATTCGCAACCTCAACACTCTACTCTACACCTCAACTCACTCCCCCCCCCCCCCGCACACTCTTCGTCACGTCGTCAACCTCCCTCACATCTCTCTCCACCTCTTGCCCAAGACAGCCTGCGATCTGGAGCAGATTTCCGCCCACGCTCCAATTCACGCAAACAAGCTCAAGCAATGAGTTTGTCATTACATGATAGATAACACTCGCATTCAAGTGAGAATTTTTTATTCTTTACTGATAACGCGCAGACAGTGGTATATCTGTGGAATGAGTACAACCTAAAACTCGAGAATAATACAGGAGGACGATATTTGAACAGGGCCACGGCCGGGTTGAGTCAAGGAGACTCCTTGAAGGCCAGTGCCGTTTTGGATGCGCTGACTTGGCTGATGCTCATTAATTGAAAGTGAGCCTACACAAATTCTGAAAACTAATATCAGCGACTTGTGAATCATCCTATTGCCGACTATCGAATTCATTCTGTTGGGCGCTGGCGCTAATGTATTGATTACCTTCGTGGGCTTCAGCCTTAGCAGAGGCGCAGGGTCGTCGTAGTGGTACTGTACTAACTAAGCGCAGAGTGAAGTGTAATGTTTATGATCAGGTTGTTAAACAACCCCTGTACACAAGTTTTCTGCAGATTTAGGCACTTCACATATGACCCCACAGCGGAAAGTAATCGCGTCAAACGCATTTAGCCTTCTTTGAAGGCTCAGCGACCTTTGTGACTTTTTTCCTACCAAATACTCCATGTGCAGAATAATAGGCTCACTCCATGTGCAGAATAATAGGCCTTCTCTCTCATTTAGTTCTACGAGAGCATTCCAGAACACGCCTCAAAAAAAGTTACACAGGACGACGGCGGGTACGTTGTTTACACTCACAAGAGGCTTTCGCCAAAGACTGTCGCGTTTTTTCGAGTTTCCTGAAAAAAGCCATTGAAGAACATTCATAGAGTGCAATGAACAATGTAATCAAAGCAGTGATGGATACTGTGGAAAAAAGTACGAACTGTACGGTGAAAAACCTGGATGCTCAGTTTCACGGTTTCCACATTCATCTCGCCTTTTCATGGCGACCTTCGCCAATAATGAACAAGGAACTTTACAGTCATGATGGTTTCACCTGAGCGAGAAAGGCATCGGCTCGCAGGTTACCACGGAGTCGTCATATTTGGACTGACGAAATATTAAATGGCGCATACATACGGGATATTAGATGCTGCGAAAGACCTCGAAACATCTCATTACATCTCGAAATTTCTGCTGTTTTATTGACCTCCAATTCAGTCAGTGACATCTTCACCATTAGCACATTCATCCAGAAAATTAGCAAGCCAGCGGATCTCTGCCCTACTATTAGAAAGTGAAGGGCTACGTATTGAGGAGGTGAAAGCAATGACATCAGGCCACCAAGATAAGTGAATATTTCCCGTACAAAAAAGGATTCTAGCTGATTGAACGCTCGATAGCCAGCAAGGCTCGACCAGTTAGTGGACTCGAATGTGGCGATAAGATAGCTGAACTCTTACAACGACAAATATTAAGTCCTCACTACGCCAAAGGACCGTCGTCGATGACGAGATGGAACACAATAATCAGCTCTCAATTCCTTTTCCCGTTTCCGCAAGCGTGGCTCTAAATCCCAAGGCATTTCATCAGAACCCTCTACGAAGTCAATCTGCTCATGAAAGCACGAGATGTTCTCCTACCAAAAGTAAGGCAGCCACTTCGTTATGGTTATCGTAGGTGACAGTTCTCACTGTAAACCGTAGTTGCCGAAGACAAGTGGCGCTTCGTTCATTGCCGAATTCCATGAATGCGGAATTCGGCAATGAACATTATTTTGAAGAAAAAATCGATCGGCAGGACGACTATTTCCTTCGCAAGTGCTCTGCAAAAGGCAGGAGTTCTGACATCTCTAAAGTGATTCATCACGGGGTAGAGTGGGCTCGTATTCGTCTTTGAAGAAAAAGTGTTGTATTACCTCATGTAGGAAATGTTCCCGCCGTTGACTATTAACACCTCCTTTTCTTCCCCCAACTCAATCGCAGCTTTTGGGGAGAAACTACAGAATCTTGGACGGAAAAATTTCTGAAAAAGGTAGGAACTTGGAAACTCGGAAAGATGTTGGCATGAGTAAGGAGAGAGCAGACTGCAATTTTCAGAACTTTTCCCCGCCAGCGGGACAAGACCTGGACACAACTCATCGCGAAGTCTCACGAAAGCCCATTTATGTGATGAAAAAGACTTTTTCATCTGCAGAGGGCTATTCTTGACGCGTCAAACTCTACTCTCTGTCAGTTTACAGAACGGGATGCTGGGTCTCAAAGTGACTCCCAGCTAACTCCGCGGGATCTTTCCGAGTCACCTGTCCAACTCAAAGACAAGCTGAACACTCGCCTCCGTGTGTCCTCGTCCTTGCCTTGTTCAAGCTGAACGGACCCGCAACAGCAAAGGCCTCCCAGTTTTCCTGCTAAAACACTGGATCGGAGCCGGAAGGTAGTGATATCTGGATGCCGTCCACTCACTCCGTCCGCAACCGCGCGCCCAACAACAGCCCAATGCGCTACTTATCTGCACTCCCTCACTTGTGGTTGTTCTCTACCGATGAGTGCTTGTTCGCTGTGAGGTTTACATGGACCCAAGTGCTGCACGCTGAGGATGGCTGGGACGGAGTATGGAGACGGCACCCGCGTGCCACTGCCTGCTAGACTTTTAAGCCGAGAAAGTGGCACGCCGGTGCAGCTGCGGACCGCTCATGTCACATATGGCAAGGATTCTTCTCACAGGTGAAGGTACACTTTGTCTTTGAGCGGAGACACTTTTGTCCTTTCCTAGAATATTATCTAAAAATTTGAATCTATGATTTCATTCATTCTAACATCTTCGAAACTTACAAAATAATAAAACATTCATTAGTTCTTCATTAAGTAGTATATAGTATAAAACAAGTATCAATCGGTATACATTTACAGTTTATGGGATTACGCTACATCATGCAAACTTTCTCTTAAATGTTAATCCAAAAGTATGCGTTATATACTTTAGTTCGCTGCGGATGAAGCGGCGTCCCGTAGTATGAGGGTGCACCGCGCCGTTGCCAATTGAAGCGGGTCTGCGTCAGCAATCGGTACAAAATGAGTGACATAAAGCTATGATACAGTCCTCACTTGCTCGCTCCAAACAGGCGGAGAATGAGTTGGCTCCGCACCAAGCTCATCCCGCTTGACACGCCCCTTCGTCCGCAGCGAACTAGATTACAAATCAAAAACATGAATGCAGTTATCCTGGTAAGTAAGTGGAGAAACTTAATTGATAGTGCAGCTCAGCAAAAAAAAGTCGGTAAACAAAACCCGTGAGACAATCCTCGAGATCATCCGGAAAACAACTCATCACAACAGCGACAACAAAAGTATAAACCCCTGAAAGCGACCCATTAAGTATCAGTTTAGATTCGCACGCGCACTGCGACTCCTTGTCGAAGGTCCAGCACGAGCTTGTTTGGTTTCGTTAAGTTTGCCGTGTATAGCCTCGTATCGCTTTAGCTGAGCCTCAAGTTCGGCGGATTTTTTCTTCAGGTTGTAGTTTTCAAGACGAACTTTTTCCAAATAATTTATCTGAAAAGCAGGAAAGTATCTCACCCAAGAAGACTTCCTCTCTAAAACCTTGATGTATTAATCATTGGTTCATTGGTTTACTGCTCACCTTTTGCTTCTGATTGTGGTGTCCGGCGAGTTCCGTGATGGCGCGATCACCTTCGTCTTTGGCCGAGCGCAATAAATTCAGCTCCTGAAAAAAAAACTAAATAGAGGCAGAGTGGCTAGTGTTGCTCACTTCCCCTGAGTGCCACACTCCGGGTGTTTTGTCGCCGAACGGAAACTATGAAATATGACTCCCTATATGAGACCGACATATCATTTTCAAATCAAACCAACAATTTTTCAATCGCATACAACATTTTTCACACCCGATTCAACGGTTTTCAAACGATTCAACAGAATTGAGCTTTGTTCTCACGTAGCCCAACGACAGAACCCGTTATGTTGCGCCCACGATGAAACATTAGTTCACAGCCTGTACTGCACAGGATTGGTCCTTTACATTGCAATCCACTCGAAGGAACATCCATGATGAACGAACAGAGCTCCATTTCAGTTACGCATCGAAGTACAAGCGATGGTCCTTGCCGCAGGACATGGTTGTCAGTACCGTGCAAAAGAGGACAAACTGTTCACTCACCCTAAAGGAGGGTCGTTTCCATGTGCGAGGTGAATGGGTCTGCAGCTCAATAGCGCCCCAGCTTCTTCGCATGAAGATGCACGGAAACGGGGCTGGAGGGTGGAGGAATCTGAGCCTTGTCCGTACTCCGCCCGTGCAATCCCCAGGGTGCAGCGTTTGGCCGATATAAAGGTTCCGAAACAGGCTCTGGGTAGAAAACAACCAGAGGTGAGAAGCCTCAGAGAAGTAGCGCCTTTGGCTATGATCAGGCTGAGACTGAGGTATCACAATCCTTTACCTTCGTTCCCGTCCACTTCCCTGCGGAGAAAGTGGTATGCTACTGCAGCGACGGACCCACTGTCCCCATACGTGGTGGGGATCAGGATCTAGGGAGGTGAACGTAGAGCTTGTCGTCGGGAAAACTATCTGTAAACCGCTAAACCCACCGGAATCAACAATGATGCAGTAAGGACCGTCGCTCAAGCGTACAGAGTGGATGTGCCTTGACCCAACACAGCTAAGAGGAAATGAAAACAACATCTGAGGTCCTGAAGCGCAACCGAGGAACTCGTTAAACAGCATCCAGAGGATACTATACTGCAGACGCAGCAGCGACTGAAAGAAAGACAGGGACATAGAGTAGATCATGTCCCCAAACTTCAACGCTCTAGTGAGCTTCCCTTGAGATATCACGCTCAAGAAGTGCAGTTGTGAGTCTGACGGTGCTACGACGATCATCGCTGCGAGAACAGCAACCCCATAATTGCACGCCTTTCACTAATTTTTCTCAACATTCCAGAGCAGTGATAAGGAAAACAGAAAAAGGCTAATAGATCAGGGCTCAACTCTATCTAAAAAGGATATAGCTGATAAGGTTGAGGTAAAATTTTTTGTTATAATGGTTGTAAGAAGAATCATAAATGCTTGCAAAAGAGTGTGCTGTGTTACACTTTATCTGAAAACTGTTAAATCTGGTCTGAAAAGTGTTCAATTCTATTCGAAAAGTGACGAATCCCGTCTGAATACTTAAAATTGGAAATGAAAGCAATATAAATGCAAAGTATTCACCCTCTTCGTCTTCTCCAGCTCCACGTTATTTTGAGCGAGAAGTTCTTCCACTTCGGCCAAACGACTGCACCTCTCGAGCAGTCTGCAAACATGACATACCACTGATAACACAGTTCAAATATACGATCATAAGAACTTTTCTGAAACACAAAGCAGACACACTTTTCATTTTCCTCTTGTAGCTGATTGATTTTGTGTTCCTTATCTGACATATCGGTGGTGAGCCGTCTTTCCTTGCTCGTGAACGAACTGAAATGAGGACATCACTATTTGCCTAGATACGATGAAAGACAGGGTTTCAGGTCAAAGTTGAATACGGATTGAAATACGCACTCTTCAAGTTCCGCTAGCCTCTGCTCCAGAGTCACCTGAATCGCATCTCGATAATTCGAAAATTGCACCTTAAAGATATTTTATGTCAGATAATCCAATTTAGTCCATACTTCGCGATTTGGTCGCTTTGATTGCGCGCATGATTTGGCAGCACAAACACAGCGACCAACGTCATCGAAAGGACGGCACGATAAGAGCGAAAAATCAAGCTAGCAACTGCGAAAGAACTTTTTGTAAGCATACCTTGGTCTTCTCATGTGCGCCACGTTCCAATTCGAGAAGGTTTTCTGCGGACTTCAGCTCATCAGCATGGCTGAAATGTCTAACAAATTACATGAAACCCTCAGAAAACATCTAGGAATCCTAAGGACTTCCAGTTAGCGAGTTGGAATATTCACCGTCTCTTCAGCTTGGCTATCTTATCTGTGAACTCGCATTCCATTCTTGCATTTCTTTCTTGAAGCTGATCAAAACTTCTCTGAAATACCTCTGAATCGGAAGAAAATAGGGCGAATTTTTGTATCAAAAGTAACCAAAGGAACAATTAGATGTCAAGGTAGGGCTTTTTTCCAGATGCTACAGTCACCTTTAGCTCATCTCTCTCGTTGGCAAGTTCCTTGGTATTCTCAAGTGCTCGATGAAGGGACGCAGATACATGAGCTGCTTCATTGGTTTTGGATTGGAGAAGCTCCTATAAAAGGATATGAAGTCTCTGCTGTTCATTATATCTTTTTGGCAGTTTACTCCCATACAGAATCATAGTGACTAGTAGGTGAGGGTGCGTATATACTTTGCATCTACCAGCGACCAGGAAAGTATGGATATCGAGCTAATGAATGTCAGCGTACATCAAGCTCCATCAGCGTGCGTTTTCGCGGGAACTTTTGAACTTGAGCGAAACTGCCCGCGAAAACGCTGGGTGGACGCTGGCGTTCGTAGATTGATACCTATAATTTCCTAGTTTCTCGAGATGCTGGCATACGTTAATGGACGCCGGTGGACGCTTGCATTGGCTAAATCGATTTCTATACTTTCCTAGTCGCTGGCGCTGGTGTTCGCTCGTAACGCTGCTCAAAGCTGATGGACGCTGCCGCAAAGTGGGAATGCAGCCTCGCCATATTCAGTGATCACGCGCGTGAAAAAACTCAGATAGAACTAGTTGGCATGGACGGGAGACTTGCCACCCCCTCCCTTAACGAATTCCTAACATTTCGTCGAGAGGTACTTTTTCAAAGAATCACCTTCGTTCGCTCGTGCGCGTGATGCTCCCGGTCGCTTATCATCTTTTCTGTTTCATTTCGAGATACTCTGCACTTTTCCTGGAAGGCACTTTGTTTTGGTGGTGGGGTTTGTGGGGGTGTTTTTTTTTGGTTTTTGTTTTTTTTTTTTTTGTGGTTTTTGGTTTTAAGGTTCTCGGGGTCAATTTGGGTCTTGAAAGAACTGCCGTAATCGAGGCGAGAGACTCAACTGACCGTACGCGTCTTCTTTTGCTGATTAATCTGGTCTCGAGTATTAATCCTTGCGCGGTCCCTTGTTTTTGAGTTCAATTCTCTTTGGTCTGTCTTGCTTTGAGCAGCTCTGGCTAAGATATCCTATCGGACAGGTGTTGTTATGTTGGTTCAACTAATCGAGACATCCGACTTGAGATAAAAGCGTGTATCTTATTCCATGATGATTTCAGGAATCTGTATGAGACATATCAAATTTGAATACTTTGTCATTAGGTGCGGTTCATTAGGGTTTATCTCAAAGACTGACGACCTCTAAACTCGTGCGCAGCTTTTGCCGTGGTTGAATGAATGTATACGGTCTGTATCGATTTGCTTCGATCTGACTTTTTCAGTTTTGGATAAAGTTATTCCATGACGGGTACTTTAGCTGTTACTTGGGGGTAAAGAAATGCACTGGAATTAGAGGTAATAGTTTTTGATTAAGGTGACGGATATTATATTTATCGTTTTGTCTGTTTGTGGTTCCTGAATAGGCGTGGTACTTTTTTTCGCTCTTTTGGTAGTGCCATTAGATCATTTCTTTTTTTTACAAGATTTGTGATTATTTTGGGCAGTTCATGTGAACTGAAAGGTCGCACCTTGTTAGAGCTTTAACTCCTGTGAAGTGCACGAAGAATAATTGTTCGAAGTATGAGTTTTGTCTTCTTATCTCTTGTTGGTCCACAAAATATTTGTAAGTTTTTCCAAGTATGTACCTGGTTACATGAGCTTAGCTCAGTACGAATTCGTTGCCTTTTGGGTTGGGGGTGGGTTGGTGGGTTTTGTTAGGTTTGTGTGGGGTGGGTTGGTGGCCGGCCTACAAAAGTCGATTACTTGTCCCAGACCGAAGGAACTCTAGGCGGAGCAAACTGAGAAGGTGTGTTAACAATAATTTATCTTATTCACATCATATCGTAATGGGACTGAACAAGTTGTTAAAGTAGCTTCAGGTATCTTGCGGGTCGTGATTAGGGTGTATTTCTCTGACTGGAGGAACAAATTAGATGTCGAACGTAAAGCGCTTTCCAGAGGCTAAAGTCAACCTGTAGCCTCCATCTCTCTCGGTCTGGCACGTTCCTCTTGTGTTCTCACAGTGCCTCGAAGTGAAGCGCGACGCAATACATGAGCGCTTCGATTGGTTTTGGATTGGAGAAGCTCCTACTAAAAGCGATACTGATGACGTCCTTTGCTGTTCATTACTCTTTGGCAGTTATACTCCTAGTACAGAAATACCATAGTCACTACTAGGTGAGGCATGCGTATATTATGTTGCGTCAGCGTGATCCACCAGCACATGGAAGTTATATGGATATCAGCGAGGGCGAATGCCAGCGCATACCACCAATGCTCCATCCAGCGGTACACAAGCGTTTTCCGCGGGAACTTATTGAACTTAAAAGCCCGAAAGCTGCGCAGCGAAAACGTGGTGTGCAGAACCTGGGTAATTCGATAGTTTCGATACCATAACTTCCCTAGTTTCGGAGAAACGCTGTAACATATCTGGGGGGGCTGCGTTAATGAGCCCGCGCGGGTGTGGAGGGGTGACGCTGTATTTTGGCCCTAAATCGGATTTAGTACTTCCCTAGTCGCTTGCACCGCTGGTGTTCGCCTCATAGACGCGGCTCCAAAAGCTGATGACGCTGCCCCGCCAATAGTGCATTTGAATGCAGGCCTCACCCATATGCCCAGTGATAACGACGCCTGGCGAAAAAACTCAGAGTAAAACATGATGGATGGACGGGAGACTTGCACCTCCGGCCTCCCATGAACGAATTACCTAACATTTACGTCGATAGGTATCTATGGACAGGCGGGCTTAGGAAAGAAGCTGAGTCTTATGTCATGGATTGAATTTTCAGGGAATCCGTGAATGAAGGACATGATTCAAATCGTTGAGTGAGCCTGCTCAACTCATATTCTCAATAGACGACGACCCGCCTAAAACAACTGACTCTTACACCGAGCGCGTGTGTGTGTGCTGAGAGAGTAATCGGCTGGTCCGACTCTTGCGTTCGTGCTTGACTTGTCATTTGGCGTAAGAGTTGGTGAGTGACGGTGGCACACTACGACACCAATCGCACACAGAAGAAGAGGAAGTATTTGTGCAGAGGGAAGAACGCTGTTTTGGTCTGAGAAGGAGGCACACTGACACCGTGTGTGGCGCCCTGTCGCTCTTCGGTCCTTACAGTGCTTTTACAATTTTTTTACAGTTCATGTGAACTGAAAGGTCGCACCTTGTTAGAGCTTTAAACTCCTGTGAAGCCGAAATATTGTTCGAATGAGCCATCTTGGTCACAAAAATGTAAAGGTTTTCACAAGATGACGCTGTACACAAGGCTTCAGGGCGGCTTCAGTACCCAGTGCGTCTGTCGCCCCCACATAAAGTTCGAACTGCCCAGCCGCCAGAAAACTTCTAGGTGCGGCGAGGCAAGACTAATTCGATGAGCAATAAGACAGATTTCCGAATCAGTCATGCACATGACGTGAACAATGCTGTGTAAAGTAGTCAGTTGCAAATATCTCGCGCCGCGCTGGAAAGGGGGTACGTGTTGGAACTCGGTTGTGAGACGGCAGCGTCGATAGGTACCGTGCGTTCAAGAGATGTAGAGCTGCGCGCGCGCATTGGCGCAACACGAAACGAGATGCTTCCTGGCAGCCCTGCAATTGCTGAGTGCTCCTAAGTAAAGCGAGATCCGGACGCCTCAGACGCTGCCCGCTCGGCAGTGCAGGGCGACGTCCCGCCTGTCCAAGTGGGCATAAGGATTTTCGCGGATGGACGAACCTTCCATATCTTCTTCTGCTTGGTCGCTCTCGATTCCCCACCCTAGGCGTTACCATCTTACTTACTTCTCCCCCTTTTCCTAGGCCTTTTTCCGGAAGGCTTCCCGAAGTTGCTTGTAGTGTTGTTTTTTTGGTTTTTTCCTAAATTTTGCAGAAAGCAGGGGGAGGGAGTCGCAAATAGTGGTAGTTTAGGAATTACGCTGCGCCGCACGTCAACGAAAGGTGGGGAAGGTATATAGCATATGCGAAGTCGGGAAAAATCAGCAACTGCGGAAAAACTTTCTCAAGCAAGGCGAAGGACAACTATTCTGAGGTCAGATATGACTACCCTCCCGAGGCCACTGGTAAAGAAGCTCTCTTCCGCTTCATGCCGTCTCCCATCGTTGTGGATGTGGCGCGTAAAACAGGAATAATCAAGTAATACAAAAATTCTAAGGGCAAATGCGACGAACATTTCTCCGGGAGCAACGCCTATGACATGCCCTTCCTCCAATACCAACATATAGGCTGCAGACCTACCTTAAGTGAGTTGTGTTTAATCTGCTCATCATAAAGCCGTTTTTCTATGTCAGTGTTCGACGACACCTAGAGCAGAAAGTTCAGAAATGAAAGCCCACCAGTTGAAATAGAAACAATATGAAAACCCATCAGAACGTTAAAAGACAGTACCAAATCATCCATGCTTTTCAGCTTTATCGACAGCTCTTCCTGCTCATTTTGGGACGCTAAAATGACAACAACATGGCAAAAGCCCGTCCAATCACAATCAAAAAAATGGCAGAAGATTCAACCTTGAAGTCGATCCTCAAGAGAGAGTTTCTCTGATCGCAACTCATCGATTTCTTGTAAGAGACTGCATTTCTGGAAATTTTCACAGCGATAGAGCCTTACCCAAATGTATAAGGCAGCGTTCAGACTTCGCGATGATGCGAAGACTCTGACGCGCGTCGACGCGCTGTAACGTGCTACAATTCCAACAGCGCTCTCGTGCCACAGACGCGAACGCAGTGGCAGACAGGAGCTGATCGGCCGCAAATGTTGTGGAGTAGGGAACAATAGGAGAGTGCGCGTTGCCTAATACCGCTGTCTGGTATCGATCAGCACTAGCCGCGAGTTTAGCCTCCTGTTACTACATACTATCTCCAAACACAAGCGGTCATGGCCCTGTCTACCGCTGCGTTCGATTGGTGCGTCCTTGCACAGGCGGCGCGGCTGCGTTCATACTTCCGTCAGCATCTACCAGCGTACACCAGCGTTCTAAGTACTAGGGAAGTATAGATCCAGTGAACGCCAGCGTCCATCAGCATTTTGCGGGGGCTTTTGAGCAGAGCAAAATGCCTGTTTAATTCAAGCAATACTTCGCGAAAACGCAGCTGTACGTTAGGGACGCTGCCGTTCGCTGGATCGATACCTACACTTCCCTAGTACCTCGAAACGCTGGTAGACGCTGGCGTTCGCTACAACGACATTTACACCTTCGTAGTCGCTGGTGGACACTGACGCAAAGTATGAAGACAGCCTTAACATTTGTTCACAGCGTTTCAACGCGCTTATAGCGCGTCATCGCGAAGCCCGACGCTGCTTGAATAGAGTCTCACCTCATCGTTGAAGGAGAAAATTTTGGCGCTCAGCATATCAGTTCGTTGTTGGATTTGCGCCAGATTTTCAGTCAACTGCGATTTCTCCATTTCAAGGCGGTCGATCTGCGACTTCAATGACGACTCGCTGTAATAAGTAGGTAAAAATACGGAAAGTTTTGCATGGCATTAACGAAGAAGAGATAGAATTCAGGTGCAACCTACGTCTTATGGAATTTCTCTCGTTCCTCTATCCATTGCTGGGCTTCTATCCTTTGCATTTCGGAAATTTCTTTTATTTTCGCTTCCTTTTCGCTCACAGTTTGCGACAGTCTGTTATTGTCTGTTTTCAAGCGAAGAACCTCACGTTGTTCCAGTATAGCGTATTGTTCGATATTCTATAAAGGCGCCGAAGTATTCGAGCAATATCATCTAGGGGAATCCCGTTAATGGCCCAAAACAACTATTCGACTGTAACTTTGGAACATCGTAGGCAGGCTTACCCCGTCCAGCGCGTCAGCATCTTCGCTATCATCGAAAAGAACAGACTTGAATGCCCGAGATTCCCTGCATGACTTGATTGTTTCTTTGTGGCGTAAACATCGCCATTCGGCGTTCTTTCTTCAGCTGAGCAGGTGTTTTGCATCCATTGTCAATTCTTGGGCTCTAAACGAGTCCGCACATTCAGAAGACCGCCTCAGTGTGCGAGTCTGAAGAATTCAAATTCCATCGGGAAAACCTTTCAGTCCAGTTCAACAGTGTTTCTCAAAGGTCTCAACAAATCTCGGATGGGTTTGATGGCCTGGAGGGGGGGGGGAGCTGTAACGGTCAAGGTCTGCTGCTCGAAGCTAGGTCCCGGTTCCGATCACCTGCGGCGCGCTGAGCCTTAGTCCTGGTCATGAGAAAGAAAATAGACCCCCTGCCACCAATCAGAGCGACAGCTATCAATACGCGCGGTTAAGCTGGCGAATTACACCACAAAAAAGTTCAGTACACGCCCGCGAGGGTGTTGAGCGCCTGGCTCGCTGACTTGACAGAATATCCACGTCGAATCATTAGGGTCCTGATGCAAAAGCCGCCCACGAGATACTGCGAAAGCTCTTCCACCCCAGCGTTGGCGACACGTCGGTTGAGCATGATCCACCCAACTATTTGCGATGTATGGCCTGGTTCATCTAAAGTAAGAACAGCAACTACAATCAAGCGAGGACGATAATTTGAGACACAGTCCTACAGTATGAACCAGTGGAAGCCCGTACTGGCTCGCGTCGGGTTACAATTTGTGACCAAGGAGAGATACCACAACTTAAAATTGAGGCGCTTGACTTCACTCGAGAAACTTTCTATCATCACCGGAACAAGAAACTAACCGTATTCAAATTGATGGTTCGAAGAGGAGAACCAGCTAGAGACTTGTCGAAACCCTCAAGAACATTACTGTACTTCTCATTGAGAGCTTTTGTAGCACCTTCAGCAGATTCGAGCCGCAAACGCATCTGATCCAGCTCACATTGGGCCTAAACGTTACAACCACTTGTTAGATTTGTTGAACTTTTGAATTACACGGCATTAAAGAAACGTACTCTGAACAAGTCGCTTTCAAGCTGAGCTCTAGTAAGTTCTTCGAACGTTTTAACTGAATCAATTCTTTTCGAAATTTGCGACGCCATGTCACGCACAATGTCGTCTTGTGACTGCAAAAAACCTTTTTTAGCGTTCAGGAAATTGAAAAAACTTCCATACCTTCACATCTCCATCTCCAGAAGGCTTCCTCGTAAGCTGAGCGGCAAACAGATCCCGCTGCAACAGAGCCTCAACGAGTTGCTTCTCACGGCTAATGGCTGTCTCTTTCCAGAGCCTCAGGTCGTCCTCAATAGCTGTCACTTTTGCAGCCATTTCTGGAAATAACCCGGTGAAACGATTAGCTCCAGAAGTTCGTATCGAGTTAAAAATGTGTGTGTCGACATGAGCACTGACAGCTATCTTACTAAAGTGAAATACCTGAACGAATTTTCTCCTCCTTTCGAGTCCAACTCTGCACGCAACCGAGAAATCTCACTTTTGTAGGCCATGACGGTATCTCCAGTAAGATCTTCATTAGCATGAACACGATTTTCAATCTTGCGACAAGCAGCTGCGAACTGTAGGGTAGAAAGCGTATCAGAGTAATACCTGAAAGCAGATACAATGTCCTCTACAAGATCTGAGAGCATCCTTCTTCACTATCTCCTTCTTTGAAATCTATCCATATTTTGACCGAACTTTTCCCCTGGCGCACATACGACCCGACTTTTGTTCCCTTCCCCCAGAATTTGGTCATTTGAAGACAAACCCCGCGAGTAGGTACTGATAATGACATTCAGCTACGAACCTATAGTCGCTCAGTGACGTTCCTGGGAAGAAAAAACAAAAAAATCATGGAAAACACTTCATGTAAAGATCTAATTCTCTCTGGACGAACTCTCTGGTATAGGTTTTGTTTCAGCAAAGCGATATCCCGCGCCAATGATTCACTAACCATTTCTTCGCATCCTACGTATGTTAATACCGTCAAAGAGCAAAAAAAAAAGGAAAAAAAAATAGTGGTGTAAAAACTGAACTCGCGACAGAAAATAGCCTTCGAGTTTTTGGTGCGCGGGACGAATAGAGACGGAGAGCCGTCAGCACTGTCATTTATGGGGCCCGCAGTGCCTTACTTACTTACTGCGAAAGTGAGACAGTCTCAGAGTTGAGGACCACGCTGCTTACACAAGGGAGGACACCTACAAATCGGTTGAGCCTACGGACTGTCTCTAAACACGAACCACGTTTGCTTGAGGCCAGAACCTCTTTTTGTCGGGCCCTCGCCAGAAAACAATAACGCAAACTTTAGAGTAACTCTGCCGCAGACGTCCGTAACAACTATTTTGTGCCAAGCAGATGTGCTGTATTTATGCTCAAGAGGGAAAACTAAGACTGGGTACAGGTTTTTAGCTTTAGGTGTTTTGGCACTAGTGACTAGTGCCAAAAGAGGACACCATTGGGGGAGGGTACCATACGGTGGGCGAGTGAATCCACTTCATCCCTGTTAAGGTGGTAGAACTTCTGAGAGAAATATACTTTAGTTCGTTTACGGACGATGGGATCGTCAGGCAAAGCAGCAAGTGAAGGGAACCGGCGCAAGAGTCACTCAATGCCAGTTGTTAAATTCTACATGGTACATTGGTTGGTAGAAATACGAACGATATGTAACAGACTTGTCACTTGCTCACTTCAACAACCGGAGAAGAATGGGGCCGGCACGGCGACAAACTGATTTTGCCTTACACGCCTCCTCGTGCGCAGCGAAGTAGGCTATACTCTAAGCTAATCTGAGCAGATACACTTGCTTATCTACACCGGGGAACATTGTCGGTTGAAATCGGCCTCAATGTCGGGGGGGGGGGGACGTGCCCGTAAAGAGGCAAACTAGGATCAAACTCGAAGAACAGAATCTTGTGATGGACTTCCGACAGATGTTCACCAGAAGAAAGCGTGATGAGAAACAACATGCAGCTTCTCCCTTCATACTTCGCGATCAAATCGATTTAGTCGCGCGATCGGATGACTCGAGCGTCTGGATCGAAAAGTATTAACGCTCACGCACTGCAAGGAATTCAAGATGGATGAATAGGGGACCGCAAAGTAAAAGGGAAACGGAAAAGCTCCCAAACCTGTACTGGATATCCCATCATCTTTATCAATTTGGTAAGACGACGCTTCAAACAATGACCTGAGGTTGTATGCACCAATAGATTCGATAAGCCAATTTTTCTTTCTTTTGGTACCCCATAAACTATGCAAGAAGTTCTAAAAATAGATGACTTACTCCATGTCAGGATGAAGATTGACGATCACAGCTGTCCTACTGTTTCCCTCCGAGTGAATCCCGTAGAATGTGAGTTAACTTGGATTCACGATAGGGGATGAACTCGCCACGGCGATTTGCTGCTGACAGCGTTCGAATTACGCGACCTAATACGCTGAGTGACTGAAAGCAGCATTACTATTAGGAAATCTAGCTGCGAATTCACGACAAATGGTTCTTATGCGAATTCACGACAAATGGTTCTTACCAAGTTAATATTCACAGCCTCTTTAAATCGGTTTCCTACAGTTGGGGCTTGTGACTGCCTTTCTGACCCAGCAAGGTCGACCATATTCAGCGTAGCACTCTTCTTGTTAACAATAGTATTGATTAACTCTTCCGTTCTCACCTGAAACAGAGTGAGCGTGTATAGTCTAGTTCACTGCGGACGAGGGGCGTGTCAGGCGCGATGAGTTTGGCGCGTGCCAAGCCGTTCTCCACCAGCTTTTGAAGCGAGCAAATGAAAAGACTGTATCATATCGTTCGTATCACTCGTTTTCTACCAATTGTTGTCGTTCACCAGCTTCAAGAACTAGCGGAGGACGGTCTTTTGCCGTGGCACACTCATAGTGCCTCACACGCTCCTTCATCCACCAGAGTATAAATAAGGAAAAGCTCACGTCTATGATGAAAATAGCATGCGATCGAGACGATTCCCGGATTCATCGCCAGTTTCCCCAGTTCTTCTTGTGACCCATCCTTTTTTCAAGATCTAAATTTCAAGAGCAATGTCAAAATGAACACCACAGCGTGAAACTGCTACTTTG